AAAGTTCACCAATAAATTAGCTCTAAAAACTTTCTTCATATTTGACAAAGAGAGAAAACACACAATTAAGGACAAAATTGATAATACAATCAAAAGTTTACCTCAAAGTTTTTGTGCATGTAGTAGGGCTTTGCCTTTGAAGGTGGACAATTTGTTGGACCAGGATACCTGTTTGTTGATTTGAGGGGTGACAAGGATGTGTGAAGTTTTTAAAATGAGTGATATTAGACAAACCATCTTTTTAGTTTATATATCATATGGTGTGGTGGTTGATGGTTAGATTTCTTCTTTGAATCAAAATGAAATTCAATCATCAACCACCACATTAGGTGGTTTACAAAAATGGTATTAAAAAATGGTCTCCCTGGCATTAATTCTTCTTCTGGAAGCTTATAATAATTTTTTTTTACTTGATTTAAATAGCAATTAAGTAGATCACTTCACTTTTTCTTTCTTAGAAAATGTGTAGTTGCAGATTGTTCAATCTACTCGAGGACATCCGTCAACTTATGTTGATTGTTGATACAAAATTCGTCAAAATTACCCTGATCACGTCCCTCACACTCGAATTTCCTTTGAAAATATGAAAACGAAGTAGAACTTTGTGAAAACTACAAGAACTAAAAACATGTTTTGGCCGTTTATAGGAAATAAGTGCCTTAGGTTTCGACACAGTTCACAAAGTTTCGACGCAGCAGTTCGCAAAATTGAAACTTTTGTTACTGTATTTTCAATTGCATGGAATTTTATCTCTGAGGACATCTGTCAACTACCCTTACCTTTTATGTGCTGCACACGTGACGATTTGCTAAAAGAAATTAGTACCTTTCGCTATGACACAATAATGTACTAATTACTGCCTAATGGTATTGAATCAGTTGTCTAGACAAAGCTGCCAACTCGGCAAAGACTCCAAGCCCCAACCATGGAAAGTTTGCACAGTAACACAAGTAGAAGAAGTGAAGGTCCTAACAAGAATGTTGCCAATTCTCTTCAGCACCATCATAATGAACAGTTGTTTGGCACAACTCCAAACATTCTCAGTCCAACAAGGAAGCATCATGGACCTCCACTTAGGCTCCTTCGAGGTTCCGGCTCCATTTATTCCCGTCATCCCTCTCCTCTTCATGTCCATCCTCATCCTGCTGTACGAGTTCTTCTTCGTGCCTTTTGCGCGAAATATCACAAAGCACCCATCGGGCATAACGTAGCTTCAGCGCGTTGGCGTTGGACTAGTCCTCTCCGCAATCTCAATGGCAGTAGCGGGCATGGTGGAACAGAAAAGAAAGAATCAAGCCAACAAGGACATAACAAAGCCCATATCTCTCTTCTGGCTTTCGTTCCAATATGCTATTTTTGGTATAGCTGACATGTTTACCCTAGTAGGGTTGCTTGAGTCCTCTCCGCAATCTCAATGGCGTATGCTCCGAATCGACTAATTTTTTGCTATTACTTTTCAGATTTTACTTAAGTAGATACTCTCTCTTCATTTTTCAGATGGTTGGCAAATTGGATGATGAAACCATGGTAATAGAACTTGGTCCACCTGATTTTAAAGAGGCCTTATAAGGTAATATGCTCTGCCTCAATTTTACAGAGCTTTTATTAGTATTTCTTGCTCCTTTTTAACTCTTGACATGATTTCAGGATGTTGGAAGAGCCCTCTTACGAGCACATGTCGAGAGTCAACTAAAGGTTAACAGATTTGTATATTTATTATTTGTGCATTGAATAAGAATCAAAAAATGGTTCATGAACACAAAATGATTTTGGCATATATACAAAATGAGATAATGTTTTAGTCTGATCTGTTTGTGATGCCTCATTTAGAATTGCCACTTTCGCTTTTGGATCAAATGACATATGTTGTATAGCATCTTATCTTTGCACAACATGTCGCTATTATTTAACTCCTAATGGATCTCATTTTTTTCAATAATTAGAATTTGGGGAATTTAGTTGGACTTATTTTTACGTTAGGCTGGTGAAAGGATTTTGCTCTTATCAACTCAGATTATCATTACACAAACAAAATGATGCAGCATTGTTCACATATTTCTTCCTAATGAGATGGGTTGGAAGGATTGAGATGCCAACCACTGTTCAGTAGTCAAAGCACTACATTTTTGAAGTACATTGGTAAAATAGGATCAACAACTCTTTATATGTATATTGGAGTTAGTGAACAACTACTATATATTTTATGTAAATACTTTGTACATGTTTTAGGTTTATAGTTTTTAGTTTTACATATTTATGCACAATGCTTTTAGTCCCTTATTCTAACACTTGCTTACACTACCATTTGACATTATTTGGAGCTCATGGTTTTATAGAAAGGATATATATGCTGACATGAACGCATGCATATAGTATTTCCTCTTCAATTAAAGATAGAAATTCCTAAACGATAAGATATATTATGAATGCATGCATATATTATTACCTAGCAAGATACTAGAACACATTTAATGGCATTTAATTTATTGTCTATCAAGAAACTAGAAACTAGAAGACATTGAATACCATTAGAAATTTAAGATGCATTACCTTTTCATATAATATTTCAAAGTTCTTTTTGAGTCGGTGAAAAATTTATTTTGTGGACAATTTTTGGATGAAATATGATTAAGTATAATGCTTTCCGAGTTATTTTGTTTCGAGTTAGAGTAATTAGATTTTTCATGTGGTAGAAAGGAATTAGAATTTTGCATGAATAGAATTATTTGTTTTCACATTCCAAATTGAATGTAGTTTGTTTTATATATTGTTGTATTAGTGGCAAGGAAATAAAATATTTATGCATATTATTATAAATTAAATATATTTTCACCTATTTAAAAATAGAGATTAATTGTAAGTATAATACCTACAATATTTAACATAGCTTTTTTCTCAATGTCATTTTCCAATGCTTAACGTTTGCTTTTGTTTATGCATTTGATTGAAGTGTTATTTCATATTTTAACGCTTTTAATTGATTCATGTTTATGTTTGAATCAGGAAAAAAACGTTGCTAATGGTGTACCTATGATGATGCAACGTTGATATGCTTCTGTGTCGATTTGGCTTCAGTTATTTGGTAAGAAAACTTACTTTAACACCCCCCCCCCAGTTTAATTCATTTTGTGTATCAATTTTCTTAAGTGGAAGCAATAAGTATGTTTTATACAGCATATTTTAAATAATTACATAAAAAATTACTTTCTAAAGATTGATGTGAAAATTTATAAACTGAATTTAAATTTAAGAAACGCATGAATGAATTTAGTAAAAAATTGAAGTGTTATTTCATTTTTTAACGCTTTTAATTGATTCATGTTTATGTTTGAATCAGTAAAGAAACGTTGCTAATGGTGTACCTGTGACGATGCAACATTGATATGCTTCTGTGTCAATTTGGCTTCAGTTATTTGGTAAGAGAACTTACTTTAACCTCCCAGCTTAATTCATTTTGTGTTATCAGTTTTCTTAAGTGGAAGCAATAAGTATGTTTTATACAACATATTTTAAATAATTACATAAAAAATTACTTTCTAAAGATTGATGTGCAAATTTATAAACTGAATTTAAATTTAAGAAACCCATGAATGAATTTAGCAAAGAAAACAAAAAATGATAACTATTTAAAAAATTTTAAAATGTGTTATAGGGTTTAGTAAGAAAAGTTGTTCCATGAGTTGTGTTTTGAGGTTTACGTTTATGATGTGAATAGAAATATGAATGAAATGCACATACATTATTTTTAATATTTTAAGAGATGAAGTTTTATGTCTGGAGAAAATAACAGCATCATTCCTACATGTTAAGTTTATTTATTTTTTCAATTATTCTGGAGAAAATCTGAGGCCAAGTTCTTCGCTCTTTTCAGTTTCTGCTGCTGATCGGCTGTCATCACACTATGTAATGAACTCTTCTCCTTCAAATATATCATCTTCTGATTGTGTAATCTCCATGGTCTGTTTGGTCTATTCCATTTCCAATTGGATTCTCGCTGTTAGTTCTATGTTTGAAGTTGGAAAAACTCATGTTGCTTTTACAGTTTGATTAACAGTTCTTAATTAGAATTGGCAAATTCTTTTACTAAACATTTTTTTACTCATATTTCTAACGTTGGAGGTTCATTTTGATTTTGAGATGGAAATTAGTATTATCAAGAGTTTAAAATGTGATGCAAGACAGAAACTATTATGGTTTTGTAGAGAAAATAAGCTTTTAAATGAAAGAGCTGTAAAAACAAAGTCAATGTTAGGTTAAAGGGTTTCAGAGAGTAAAATTGGGAAATCATACTTCTTTCTTCACACAAAAACACTAGGTAAACACGTTTTATCCTTATTTTGTTCATGATATAATTCTACTGTCTATAAATTTATTTCAATTTTTTTTCCCTTGCCTGAGGACAACTTTTAGTGTTGCAGTAAACAACATTTCCCATTAATGTTTTTGGACAGGAAGCAATTTGTGTTTTTTTTGTATCCAAAGAACTTTGTAATATTTTTAATAAACGAAATAGGTTTCTCTTTTGATATTTAAATTTGTTTCATTCATGATGAGGTTGTGTATAATTTGCATTGGCATTGGTAACTCAGTTTTTGACTCAAACATTGTTTATGAAGATTGAAATTGCATAATCTTTCTTATAGTTTTCAATCCCGCAACAACGTGCGGGTACAAATTCTAGTTGGAACTATTTGCATACCTTGCGAATCCCTTCTTGGTAGGTAACAATGTAAGAACAAATGTGCTCTCTCTGTATGCCTTAGTGTTTAAATCTTTATTTATGTAATTTAAATTAGGGCTGGTTTGGTATTGTTGTGCTTTGGAAAAAAGCTGCTTTTGCTATGTTGTGAGAATAAGCAGCTGTGAAATAAAGCAGCAAAGTGTTTGGTAAACTTTTTTGTAAAAGTACTTTTGAAAAAAAAGCAGTATAATAGTGTTTGGTAAACTTTTTTGTAAAACAGCTGTGACTGTGTGAAATAACAAAAAATGTATAATACTATATGTGCTATGACAAGCCACGACGTTGTTCATTGGCAACCTTCTCCCTCCTCATCTTCTCCTTACGCACGGTTGTCGAAAATGGGACCCACCTCCTCACCTATTTCGTCGATCGTGACCCTTCTCTCAAATCCCTCATCTCTTGCCTTGACCTCTCTGGCGCCGACAATACCAACCACCGTTCTTCCAGATCTCCAACCGAGTCATCTTCTCCGATCTCTCTCCGCTGCCGACATCGCCCATTTCTTCACCTCACTCGCGTTGAAACCTTAGACGACGATTTCTTCTCCAGCGATGACGATGACGCTCGCTCCCTCTTTGGCCCCAATCAGATCTCCCCAATCCTCATTTTCTCATCCTCCCCGCACTCCACCTCCAAATTAGGGTTTAATGTGTTACAACCACCCCCCAATTATTTATATTATATGTGGTTTTACCCCAAAATGCCACGTGGCAACATCCTAACTCACCTCCATTTTCTTTCTTTCTATCCCCTCCAACCCCAAAACCTTTCTTCTTCATCTCTCTCATCTCTCTCCCTCTCATCCTCCTGTGAGCCTCACCCATTACCAACCCTGTACCTATAACACCTTCACCATCATTACCCTATCGTCTCTCCCTCTCTTTCGTCGATGCGGGACATGGATGATGTTGGACGTTGTGTGATGAGATTTACATTGTTTTCCAAGGTTTTGAAGACGGGAACGGCGCGGGGGAAACTCACCCATTTTTTCGGCGAACCCGTGAGTTTCGAGGGAATTTCTGGTCACCTCCGGCCGTGTCATGACTATTCGAGGGTAGCAATCTCTTCCCTTCATCTTGATCTTCATTTTGGTAGTTAGATCGAGGTCTAAAACCCTTGTTTGCTGTCGACAGGAACTGTAGCAACTCCGGTGTTCTTCCTCGATCTACACCCAAAGCCACCAAGCCATTCGGCCTTCTCAATCAACCTCAGGCCTTAGCCCAGTTTCCTTTTAATTATTTGGCATGTGGGCCATGAGTGTGTGCACATGTGGGTGTAAGTTGGGCCGTGCGTGCGTGTGTGTGTTGTGTGTGTGTTGTGTGTGTGTGTGTGTATGTGTGTGTGTGTGTGTATACCGTGAGTGTGTGTGCATGCCGTGCATGCTGTGCATGTGTGTATGTTTGTGTGGTGTGTGTGCATGTGTTGTGCACGTGTGGGTGTGTGTGTATGTTGTATGTGCAGGTGTGTGTTTGTATACTATGTATATGGGCCGTGTGTGTGTGTGTTCAATGCATGTGTGTGTGAGTGTGGGTTGGGTTAAGCCCAAACCACCCTTCTTCACCCTAAACCCTTTTAACCCAAAAACCTTAGGATTCTAAAACCCATTAGACTTTAACCCATTCAACCCAAATCCTTTATTTTTATTTAGTTCAAGCCCAAATCCTTTAGAAAATCCTTTTATTTATTTATTACCTTTTTGTGCTTAGGTAAAGTTGCTAGTGGAGAAATTCTTAATCCTTGTCCGCACAACTCTACTGCTAAGGAGTATCTGTGAGTGGACCCTTTTTAAAATTTGCATAATTTCCTAGTTTAATTTCATAAATGAAATGCATGCCTTACGAGTTTATGATTTGATTTTATGTTAAGCATGTTTATGAAATATGTGGTTTATCGTCTCGTTTTTGGTGAGGAATTTATTTGTTAGCCTATATTGAGCTATATTTTAAAATATATTATTTCCTATAAAAACCATGAATTGGTAGACTATGCTAGAACATGTTTTAGAAACCCCTCTTTATAATATAGACGATGGATGACTTTATACTATGAAGTGGTTATTGATGAGATGCGTAACTATTTGTACGTACCTAGTGGACACTATGCCGCATGGGGCGAGGATCTGGTGTTGGCAGATAGGCCGGGAGAAATAATCCTTAGCTACTGGCTGAGGGACACGGAGCAGGCATTGGGCCGGGAGTTGGTAATCTCTGGCTACGGGCGCAGAGACCACGATGCTGGCATAGGGCCGAGAGTTATATTTATTCAGTGATATTTCTAGCAGTACACCGCGCTTACGAGACGATCTATGAGACGTTTACTGTTTTGATTTCCACGATGTTATTCCGTGATATGACTTTTGAGATATTTTTGGTATGCTAGGATTTCTATTAAATCCTTCACTTTTAATGCTAGTAGTTTTCATTATTATATAAACTGTGGGGGTTAGTACATTGATAACTGTTTTATTATTATTGTATATATGAACTTGGTCCACTCACCTTTGTTTTGCGCCCCCATTCAGGTCTTAGAAACGAGGACTACGACACGACGTACAAGGCATTCCCCTACTAGTAGCAATCTACCACTCACTTGTGTGATATCTTGTGATGATCTTTCATTTTTGTGAATCTTGATTTAGATTGTATTCTGTGCACTCTAGACACTTCCTTAAACTTTGTTTATTACTTCTAGATTCTAATGTTTATTCATGAATATTTTCTCCTAATCATTACTCTTGTAATCAATTAATGACTTTCATCACCCGTAGGTGTCGGCCAGCACGTGTTTATCCTGGTATTCAGGGAATATCAAGGTCGGGGCGTGTCATAATGGAACTTATGGGTCTAGGGTTTCTGAAATTGTGCGCTCCAGCCTCACGTTCAAGGCTGAGAAATTCACCATTTCTGATGACAGAGCTAGAGGCAGGGATGGCGACAGAGAAAGCAATGAAGGGGAGGAGAAAGGCGACGATGAAGAAATGGACAATCGGGCCATCGATTTGCAATTCTTGATCAACGGATTGGAGCTGGGTCGCCAGGACGTGGTGACGTTGTTCTTCCTCTTGAAAGTGTGAGGAATCAGAAGAAACTTTGAAAATACTCCACTTTTTGAAGCTTCCACCTTTTAGTTTTTTTCATCTGAAACTTTGAAAAAAAACTGGTTTGGGATGTTTACCAAACACCAAAAACTCTTCCATTTTTTTTTCATACCAGTTTTTTTTAAAATCACAACCCCAAACCATACCTTAGTTTTAAGAAGAATAAGGCTTACATAAAACAAATATATCTTTTTTTAGTCTTCGGAGTTGGGGTTAGCTAGTGATGATGGTAGGTAGAAGTAGGCTAGGTACAAGGTTATAATACTCCAATGTAAAAAACAAAAAAAATCCATATTAGTTAAGATTCTTGAGACGCTTTTATTGTATAAATAATTTATAAGTGATTATAGGGCCAATTCTCTTCTAACACTGTGTAGCAGCTAGCAACTCTTGCCGGATAGGAATTCTCTCCCCTCATTTTTTCCCTCCCCTCCCTCCCTTCTCTCTCCTCATCTCATAGTTTTGTTTCCTCTCTCTACAAAATGAAATCTTGAGCGTTCAAACAAAAGGAGAGAAAAAAAAGGCAAGAGAATCCTTATCCCTCTTACTAGATGCCATTGGGGTTTTCAACACGCAACAACCATGCAGAATCACACAATTGAAAGTGAACAGATGAATCCTTTTTATGTCACTGCCTGAAAACATGTACTTGATATGAAGAATTTGTGCTGATACAAAGCTGCAGGAAAATGAAAGGGATCATCTCCGAATCCCTTCCATCAAATCTTTCTCATTAACTAATCCGAATCCTTGAAATTTAATCCAACAGCTACAAACAGAGGCCCACTTTAAAAGTTATAATAATTTTAGTTGTTGGATCAAATTTTCAAGGATCCAGATTATTTAATGGAGAGAACTTGGTGGATTAGATCCGAAGAGAATCTCTTTCTACAGGAAAAAGGCTAATTGAAAGGAGAAGGTAAAATCTTGAGGTAAAAGCAAGAGAAGTCAGAGAGCGCGGAGAAGGTGGAGCATGCACGTATGCAACAACTTTGGAAAAAGCCTGTATAAATTAAATGATGAAAATATAAATGGGAGGTGGGGCAGCAATCTCTGTGACCAACTTTTGTTGCATCAAACAAACCATTTTTGAGGTAAGGTCCAACTCTTTATGATCGAGGTGCACCCATTAAAGTTGAAGGTGATATCAAATTATTTGATAGAACTTCACCTCACCCGTGCTGACTGTTGGTGGAGAATTCCTAACTATAATTGGTTGTCTCAGATTCTTAGAAATATTCTTATATCACTGGTTGTCAAAAAAGTATCGTCTCCAGTTCCAATCAATCCAAGTTTATCATGCCATTTTATAAGATAGCATCAGGTCCAATATCACAATTGATAGGCTGTTGAATACGTCATTGGTTCGAGATTTTTTTTCCTCTGAATTAATGTAACAGGTTCGAATCCTTTCACTCCCCTTTTTGTAATTTTTTTTTTCTTATAATAAAAATTGATAGACAAAAAATACTCACTGGTTGTATATATATTTGTCTAAAGAAATTCTGTTAGATCACTAATTATATTAAGTCACAAGATAAGAAAGATAAAGACAAATATATAAGAGGTATTCATCAATTTCCCCCTTGAACTTGTGATCATTGGCCAATTTCCCCCCTCAACTTTTATTTTGGCCAATTTCCCCCCTCAACTCTTATAATTAGTCAATTTGCACCCTACTGTTAATTTTTTTTTTTTAACTTTCCATCTATTCTTTTTTTAATTTTCGATCTTTCTAATAACTTCCAATAAAGTACTAAAATTAACATAAACTCACCTGCATAATATAGGGTAAAATGTACAAAAACATAATACAATTAGTATGTGATATGGGTTGATTATAAGAAAAAGTTATGAATCGGGTTTAAAGCAAGTAGAAGAAGAAATAATAACAAAATGAAATAATAATCCTAAACTCATGGATCAGGACCTATTTCAATAAAATGAGTTATTCTTAATAAGGAGTCGAAAATTATGAATTGACTAGCCATTTTTGCACTAAAGCTCGATTCTCCACAATTTACTTGAACTTAGCTTTCACTTTTATAAAGAAAATTGTATTCACATACAAAAATTTACACATCAATCATTTTCGTTATCAATTTTGTATAAGTCAAAAATCAAATAAAATTACTCCATACTGATTTATTATGACTAATAATACTATCTATGATAAATTGTAAAATTCTAAATTTTAATCTATTTGTAATAGGATAAAGATATACGAACATGATTAACATATATACATCTTATTTAGTTTCTTACACACATTTGTTTAATTATGATCAAAATAAAAAATTAACAGTAGGGTGCAAATTGACTAAATATGAGAGTTGAGGGGGGAAATTGACTAATTATGAAAGTTGAGGAGGGAAATTGGCCAAAATTGAAGTTGAGGGAGGAAATTGGCTAATGGTCACAAGTTCCGGGGGGGGTGGAGAATTGATGAATACCTCAATATATAAAGGGGAATATCCTTCTATTGCCACCTAATGCAAGCAACTTCTGAAGTATATTATTGGATGAAAAGGGTGAAAAGAAAAATATTTGGATTATTAGTATAATATGAATGTGCCCATGATCTGACGGAGCTGTTGATGAAGTTGAGTTCTACCTGTGTGTTAAGTCTAGGGGTGGAAAAAAATACTAAAAATAGCGCAACCAACCGAACTCAAACCGAAAAAATTCCAAAAGTAAGAGTATTTTAAATTGAATCTCCCGTATGTTAGAGTATTTTATAACATCGACTTGTGATATTTAAGGAATATTTCTTGAGAGTTTTGATATCTTTCTTAACCTTGTAATTAAGGAAACAGCTCATGCAGTAACTAGCAAGAAGTGTAACTATCAAAGTATATACGTAGCCAGAGTTCACACTGTTTTTCGGAAAACGATTTATGCTTTTGGCTTCATATGTACTAAGTTATTATCAGGCTGTTTTTAAACCACAAATACTTGAGAAAATGAAATCTGTTGAAGCTTTGGTCCCAGAAAACATGATGAAATAAAATTCCCTTTCAGCTGTATGGTCAACTACTACTTCTAAAAAGGTATTTGGATCAATGAGACGATGGTTGACTTCATGTGCTTCCCCTTCAAATTTGCAACGGGGTAGATGCTTTCTTTCTTTGGTCCCAAGGTTTCCTTAGAGCAAGTCCACCCCTAAAAACCCATCCTATTTAATCCACTTAGTGAGCAGTGATAGACTTCAATGAACAGTAATAGAACAAATACATCTCCACCCCTAAAACTAAATAGCCTAGTCAATTTTATTACAATTTTATTAATTTTTATTATAAAATAATAAAAATTAATCCCTCTCTCCCTCACAATCTTCAACCTCATCTCAATCCCTCTCTGACTCACCCGATTCCCACAATCCAATCCACACCCACATCTTCCTACATCTCATTTCACAGCTATACTCTGCAACCGCAGTCGTAGTGGGACGAAATCTCAACGTCTCTACATCTCCACATCTTCCTCGCGTTGCCCCTCCCATTTGCTTCATCTTCCTTGCTTCACCCATCCCACTAAGCTCGTCTCGAGTTTTTCGCTGTTCGGAGAAAGCCCAAATACCACAACCCAATTGAAAATCGGTCGGCGAGATCAATAGAGAAGCAGAGAAGGTCGATCGTCCTCAATGTTGAAGATCAACAGTAGCAGCGGAAGCAATAGCGACTTAATGGGCTTTGATATTAGGCTGACGCAAGCCTGACATCAGATGGCCCGACTCTTGGGTCTGTCGATTCTAGGCCGGCCTGTGGCCTGGCTTGGGCTGGGGTGGAGCAAATTGAAGGAAAACTGGTCCATTTTTTGGCCTGGGTGCCGACCAAAGAGCAGTGGTGGAACTGCTCTTATAGGGTTGACCAAAGAGAAGAAACGTTTTACACGATCTGATTGTCGTGTCAACGTATATGGTTCGTTTGGGAAATGTTTTTGACTGATTAAAATGATTTTAGAGAAAATATTTTGAAATCAATCCTTAGTTAAAATGCAAGTTAATTTTGGAAAAACATTTGAAGTGCATCTTGCAAGAAGCAACTATTGCTTTTGGAACCTAAAACTTTTTACCTAAAAGCGTTTTCCGTCATTTAAAAGCACTTTCCAAACGAGCCCAAAGTGTTAACAATTATTTTTTTGGTACTAGATGATGCCTACACACTATATGTGTGTAAATATAAAAATTAAAAATAAAAATAAAAATAAAAATATATGGAACAAAAAGAAGTTGCAGGAAAATGTGAAAGAGAGAGGGAATGTGGGAGTGGGATAATATTTATAAAAAAAAATAGACATGAGTTAATGACATGTGAGTGAGGGAAGAAGAAAAAATTTTGGACGAAATTACTTGTGATATTTTCTTCAAACATAGTATTTTTCTTGGTTTTTTGTTGACAAAAAATGTTCTATTAATAAGTAGTATAGATAACAAACAAATAATATTTATAATATACTTATTAATTTTCAAATATGTATTATATCAATTTATTTTATAATTATGCATGAATCAATAAAATCATTTGTTGACGTGAACGGTCACATTCAAAACTTTCTTTCATTCTAGAAATGGTAAGGATACTCTTTCAAAAATGGAACTCTTTATAGACTTTATGTCATCTTATATTTTTGGCACAATATTTTATAATATTGACACGAAAATTATGCCAAAAATATAAAATGACGAAGAAGAGAATCCCAACATTTCTCCTTTCATAATGAGGATGGGAAAAAGATGATGTAGACAATTTCAAATACCAGAAAAGGCAAATAATAATATAAGTTATAAAGTTTGATAAGGTGTTAGATCGAAAATATATTTTAATACAATGGTGCATGCACTGAGGCAGTGACAAATTCAATAACAATCAAATTGGCCAATTACCAATTATGATCATGCCAAACCACCACCAACGTATTATAATGAAATGTACTATGCAACTGCTTTATTAGGATTTTCTACGAGATATATTTTT